CCCCCACCTGGAGCGAGTTAGTCTTTGGGTCTGGCCCGTGAGGGGCTAAATTTGAATGCGCTTGGGCTTCCCCAGGAAGTTATAAACACTATCCAGTAGGGGTGTAACGGTACGCGTATCATGTACCGAACGGTTCACGGGTAAATTCCAAATGGAAGTGATCATACCTATCCCCTTGGAGTGGGGACTTTGGAGTGAGCAGGGCACGTGCATGCCATTATGTAGTCGTTTGGAATGCACTTGGGAAAGAGAGTGATGTAATTTCCTCATTATCTTCAGCTGGCATGTTCCCGTGACAACGCAGCACGGTGTCCGTCAGCAGATGTCGCTGTTTTAATGTATAATTTAAATATAAAATGTATATTTTTTTATGCCGCTGTCCATCAGCGAATCTGCTGACGGACACCGTGCTGCTTTGTCATGAGAAAATCCCAGCTGAAGATAATGAGGAAATTACATTGCATTACATAGTGCATTCCAAACGACTACATAACGGCACGCACGTGCCCTGCTCACTCCAAAGTCCCCACTCCAAGGGGATAGGGATGATCACTTCCATTTGGAATTTGCGCGTGAACCGTTCGGTACACAATACGCGTAAAGCTACACCCCTACTATCCAGTGCTAGAACTCCATCAACGCGGTCATTATATGATCTCAAATGGCGTGTGTTTGAGGACTGGTGCACTCGTAAAAGAGTTATTCCTTTTCAGTGCTCGGTGAGCGATATTCTCTGTTTTTCAGTGCTCTGAGCGATAGAGCTTAATGGACAGTGATAGAGTGTTTACCACTATTAAGGTTATTCTGGCTGCTATTTCGGCTTGCCACGTAGGCTTTGAAGGAGCTTCGGTGGGTCAACATCCTCTTATATGCTGTTTTATGACGGGAGTGAGGTGTCTGAGATCAGTGTCGAAGCAGCTCATCCCATCATGGGACCTGTCCAAGGTTTTGAGTGCTTTAACTTGGGCCCCATTTGAACCTATGAAGAGTGTTCATATTAAGTTCTTATCTTTGAAAACGGTCCTACTCTTCGATTTAGTTTCAGCTAAGTGAGTTGGTGAGGTACATGCTTTGTTGGTTCATTAGGCATGTCTGAATTTTAGTCTGGATGGCAGAAAGTTTATGCTGCTGCCTAACCCGGCTTTCATCCTCATTGTCAGTGATTCAGTTTATAACTGAACTGCATTGGAACTGAGTTCTTTTTACCCCTCTCCGTTTGCTTCGGAGGAGGGGTGTGATTTGCACACGTTGTGTCCGGTACGGGCGTTATGCCATTATGTAAATGGGATGAAATGTCATGAGATACCTCACTCTGCTAAATGACTAAATGTAATGTAAATAGGACACGATCATTCGGAAAGAATGATCAGTTATTTGTTTCATGGGCTGGTCAATGTAAGGGTAAGCCGATCTCCTCGCAGCGCCTTCCCCATTGGATGGTGGAGGCAATTGAGTTGGCCTATACAGCTATGGGTCTCGATTCCCCAGTGGGTTTAAGGGCTCATTCTACATGAGGTATGGTTATGTCGTGGGCACTGTTCAGGGGGATTTTGGTAGGAGATATTTGCGCAGCAGCTAGCTGGGCTTCCCCTCATACATTTATCAGATCTGAATGTCACTGCGCCTTCTATGTCTCATGCAGTTCTCAAAGTCAGCTCGTGAGTGAAATGAGAGGTTATCTTTCATTTACGCTGGGTCTGTTCAGCAGCTTCAGAAAGCATGCGTTACGGGAGTTGTCCATATCATTCCCATAGTGATATACTGAGCAACTGTTTGAAAGAGAATGTAAGGTTACTTGTGAAACCTCGGTTCTCTGAAAACAGAGTGAGGTATCTCACCAAGCTTCCCTTCTTGCAAAACACGGGGGAAGAGCATGCTTAGAATGCCGTTTCAGGGATCACAACGGTATATATAGGAAGGGGGTGGGTTCCTGGTCATGAGCTGTGATTGGTGTGCCCTGCAGACAGACTTGGTGTGATTGGTGCTTCCATAGTCTATCACGCCTGAGGCGTTCCCCATAGTGAGATACCTCACTCTGTTTTCAGAGAACTGGGGTTACGCAAGTAACCTTACGTTTTCAAGTCCTAAATATGATGACCCCTTTTCAAAAATCTAAACTGCTTTTGATGTATACAAACCCATACATACTGTATGAGGAAAAAAGTCACTGTGGAAAAAAATTTTAAGCATAAAATTTTTAAGTACAATCGACTTATAACTGTATGTGTCATTTCAATTACATTAAACTGACTTAAAAACATGTTGAATTTTGTATAACTTATTTTAAAAAGTTATAAAAAACTTATTTTGATTAATGTAAAAACATGTTGTCATGACTTACTGATCATACCATTTTTTTTACATATAAATTATACATTATACTATATTACATAAAACTACACATCTTTGCAAAATTAAATAATTAGCTCCTTTTTTCTTGGGAAAAATACATTACTGCATCTTAGTCAGGACAAAAAATATATAAATAAATAAATTAGCTGTTTACTTTTTTGATTTTTTTACATACTGTATGAGGAAAAAAGTCACTGTGGAAAAAAATTTTAAGCATAAAATTTTTAAGTACAATCGACTTATAACTGTATGTGTCATTTCAATTACATTAAACTGACTTAAAAACATGTTGAATTTTGTATAACTTATTTTAAAAAGTTATAAAAAACTTATTTTGATTAATGTAAAAACATGTTGTCATGACTTACTGATCATACCAATTTTTAAATATAAATTATACATTATACTATATTACATTAAATTACACATCTTTGCAAAATTAAATAATTAGCTCCTTTTTTCTTGGGAAAAATACATTACTGCATCTTAGTCAGGACAAAAAATATATAAATAAATAAATTAGCTGTTTACTTATTTGATTTTTTTTAACATATTTTACAGAGACCCTTAGCACCCCAATGCAGCTGCCTGGGTGACTCCTGGCCTAAAATAATGTTTGTTTGTTTTTGCCTACTTTTTTTGGAATAATGCGCCCTGATGAACACAGTGAGACCAAAAATATGCATTAAGAAAGTAAACTGGGTGAGTTTTGATTTCATGTTGACTTTATCAAGGAATCTTTTCATATTACATTTTCCTCCCAAGTCCTTTGAATTCTCCTTTAAAGGGATAGTTCACCCAAAAATTTAAATTCTGTCATCATTTACTTACCCTCAAGTTGTTTCAAACCTGTACGAGTTTCTTTCTTTAGCTGCACACACACACACACACACACACACACAGGTAGCCATTGACTTCCATAGTATTTTTTTTCCATTCTCTAGAAGTCTATAGATGGCTACCGGCACGTGTTTGGTTGCCAGCATTCTTCAAAATATCTTCTTTTATATTCAGCAGAAGAAAGAAACTCCCAACAGGTTTGGAACTTGAGGGTGAGTAAATGAAGATTTTTGGGTGAACTATCCCTTTAAGTCAGTTCTTTCTTCTGAAGTATAAAAATAAAAGTTTCAGGACAATTGGTTAATATCCTTTATTTCCAAATTCACGTGTACATCAACAAGAATCATTGAAAACCAGTTAATAATAAAACACAAACAATACTGACAACCACAGTTCCCAAGCTAAAATTTACAACTGCAAAAATGGTGTATGGAGTCAATGACAACAGGATGGCACCCAGAACCATGTTGCAGGTGTGCTACAGAGGGAGACATTTAAACCAAAGGACCGACTGACTTTCTTTCCCTCTTCCTGTCTGCTAAACGCTCACTTCCCCCCTCAACACAACATTACAACCATAACAAACAGTTTATCCCATATCCAAGCTCTCCCAACCTTCCCAAAAACACCCTAGTCAGAAAACGTTCAGAAACATGTTGCCAATCCATGTAAAAACTCAGCATGCAGATTAAAATGTTGCAGGCATGGTTTCTGAACTTCACTGCTTATTTTTAAAAAAAAATCTCTTCAAGTCCTCATATAAACATACAGTCATAAACATACAATAAACATACATTAAATATCTAATGGTAGATACACGGCTCCATCTCCAACACAAAGAAACAGGGGTTGCCGTCTGAGTAGTGCTCTTTTTCACTACTATCTACAAAGATTCCTAATAAGCACATCAGCGATTACGGGATATACGCAAGTTGGCGTGTAAGAGGCAACGCAGTATCTCGGGCTGCTTACATGAAATGCATGCAAGGAGCAAAGATAGTGTGAAGTGGTTCAAAGCTTATTAAACATTCTGCGATAGTGCAGTGCAGGGGAAAGAATTTAAGCCATATGATTGGCTGAGGTCATTACATCATCATTCAGTAAAATAGAATACCTTGACTTAACATTTTACAGCTATAAAGTGGAAGCGGATGATGTGTTCAGATCAAAGTTTAACAGCATGCTTGTGCTCGAGTGACGCTTTTCGTGAAGAATGCAATACTCAATATTGTAAATGTAGTAGGCAAATGTATAATACAGTGTGTGCCTGAAGAAGAACAGTTTGGCAATTCATCTCATAAATTAATTCTCAACTAGAGCTGGATGTTGAGAATGAGAGGAACTGTTGGCAGTATTATGGAGAAAGTTTACAGGTGCATAGGTTGTGTTTTTCCACAAGATATTTCAAACAATGTCCAGATTTCTCACATGTAGCCTATCATTAATAAAACAATAACACTTTACAATAATATTAGTCATTATTGACTAATTTTTTGTATTTTAAACCAAAAAAAAAAAAAGAAGCCATTTTTACAGCAATTTTTAATCCTGGTCAATTTATTTCCTATTGCTCACTGTTAGTAAATAAATGTTAAAATGCATTAGTATATGTAGAAATGAACATTTATCGAGATTAATATGCTGTAAAAGTATTATTTCTTGTTATTTCATGATACCTAAAGCTAACAAATTGAACCTCATTGTAGTGTCACCAATCAAACTGTCCAAAACAGCAGACGTCCATCTTGGTTAAAACGCGTAGCTGCAATTTTAAGATAATTTTGTTTTATGTTTATGTTAAAAAAATAAAAATGCAACTTCAATGCTCTGTTAATTGTCAATTTAAAGAACAAGCAAACAAAAAAGGAGAGGCATTTTCAATGAAGCACTGACATAATTCAAATCAACATTTTAAGACTGCCAGTAGGCACACAAAAAAAGTGTTTTCATATCACAAACATCCCATATTCATCCACAGAATAATACTGTAAGGAACGTTTCCTTATGAAGCACTCTGAATGTCATGGTCGTTTTAGACGTGGAGTGTAATCTCTGATCGACAGTACATACGTGAGATTGAAAAGAACTAAACGGCTTTCACCTTTCTGCACAAAGCTGTTATGCACCTGTCTTTCTTCACATAAGCCTTGCAAATCATTTCAAACGTGAACTGTGGGGCTTTAAGTTTCTTTCTTTCTCAAAGTCAAGATACCATGCTCTAATTTTAATTTTAAGCACGGCTAAGCATCTCATTCATAATCTCAATCTAAATTGAACCTGATTTAAAAATGAGAACAATCCTCTTTGAAAGTGAAAATGGGTTCGGTATGAACTGTCCTCAGTCCAGTGGTAACCAAAAAATGGTATGCATAAGGAAATATATAATGGTCAATAAAAGCCATACAAATACATGAAAGTAATTTTGTGCTACTAAATATAGTCAAGGGAGGGCAGTTGGAGGAAATTTCCAATTGTTAAATTCCCACAGTGGGCACTGCCTTAAAGCGAAGGGCGAGTGAACAGGCAAATTCATACATAATATCAAGTATTACAAAGTCAAACAGTGACTGCTAAAAGTTACTTGGCGTTGTTTTCTGGGCCACAAAATGACTTTCAGAGAGAGGTTAGAATACCATCAGGTACGTGGATGGGAGGGGGCGGGGTTTGGGGGCGTGGTTTGGTGGCGGTATGGTCCAATCACAAGCCCTGCTGGGCCAGCGATGCAGACACCTGGTCAGCGAGGGTGGAAAGCTGTGGCGGGCCTGCCATGTTGATGCTGCCAGAAGAGGAGAGCGGGTCTGCCATGTTGATGCTGCCAGAAGACGAGACGGTGCTCAGGCCATGTGGTGACTCCTCTAGAGACACGATTTCTGCGCCATGGTCGGTTCGTGCTTTGGCCTGCTCACGGAACATCAGTTTTTGCGACTCAATCTGGGAAAAGGAAATATATATATGAACTAATGACTGCAAGTGAAACCTCCAGCATCCAGCGGTGGTTTATGTTGGCTCAGAGCAGACCTGAGATTCTTGGATGGAGATTAAAACAGAAATCTGGACTGTAATGGTGCTATTTCCATAAACTCCTAGGAGAAATTGAGTTTCTAATACTGAATGATCCTGGATGACTATATTTGGTTTAAGAGCCAGAATATTTGTTGAGTACCCTCAAAATGCTGAATAATAATATGCTCAAATGATCAATGGATAAAAAAAGCAATCAAATGATAAAACAATAAAAAAGACGTGTTAAAAGGGTCAAAGCAGCAGACGAAGAAAAAAATAAGAAAATAATAAAAGATGTTTTTGATATACATTTCCATATAAATATGAATACTATTTAAACTAAACATTTTTTCAGTATTTCTTTAAATTTTTTTGTCAGTTGTTTTGTTTGTATTGTCAATTTCCTATCACTCTGTGCCAGAAGATGGCACCATAGATGCATTTCACAAGATATTTCTGCAAGTTTTCAATTATAAGCAATATGCAATTTATTTTTCATTCATTTATATGAAATATTTTATTGTGGTTGGTCACTTAATCATCTACCAATTTGCAGATTAATTAATTCAGTAATTTCTTATTTGCATATGTATTTATTAAATTATCATCATCATTTTATTTATTTATTTTTTTTTAAGGCAAGAGACTACAGGCAAAACCATTGTTTTTTCATCCACTGGTGAATTTAAAAAATTTGGCCTATTTTGCTAGTCTTCTTTTAGACTAGTGTAAAGAAACCATCCAAAATACACATTCAAGTTGATTTTATTATAATCTATTTGCGTCTGTAGATATCAATTATAATACATAATCTTTAAAGGCTGTTTTCTCAAAATAATTTTTTTCTTCCTGGAATTAGTTCAGAATTAGCTCTAGGCATGACGAAGCGGATATCGTCCTCTTTTGGAAGACCAAACAAAGTAGTTTCGCTTTCACAACGAAGCACACAGCGTCTTCACGAAATGGCGGCAGCGGCAACAATACTACAGCGAGAATAAAAGTTCCGCCTTCTTTCTTTGCGTGAACATTTGGGCGGCGTTATGCAAATCTTCCCACATAGTGAGGTAGATATGTGGGGGCGTGTTAGAACGAGCCGTTTTAGGTAGGCGTGGCTGACTCTTAACTTTTATAAAGAATATCTCTTTGGATTTGAGACTTTAGTCTTTGCAACTTTACAGATCTTCTTTCTGCACCAAGAGCTTGTAACACTCCAAAATTATTTTTGTCTTCCTGCACTGAGCCAGAAATCTACATACACTTATACATACACCATACTTTACAGGTTTATTCCTGTCTATATTCTGTAGGTTTTTACAAAGGTGTTTGTTGATATATAATTTGCCTGATATATATTTCACTTTTTTTTTTTCTTCAAAACAAACATAAAATGTAAACATTACATTTCAGAAAACTTGTAATATAAAACAATTGTCTTAAAGTACTGTGATTAATCAGCTGGGAAAAGTATGGTGATATCTATTAGTTAAAACAATAGTTTTACCCTATTCACCAGTACTGTCTCAAAATACATAACAGTACAAGTGCTAGTTAATTTGATATGAATATCTCCCCCGCTCTGAATACTTACTGGAGTCCTCAATCTTTATCTGGGGGTTGCTGAGGAGGATGGGCTCTGGGGACATACTGGCAGATGAGAGGGTGGGGGTATCAGAGGGGTCTGGGGTGAGGAAGCCCTCATCTCGGGGCATATCTGCCCCTCTTCCCTTCTCTCTCTAGAAACGTACCCCAGGGTGGCCAGTGGGTGGTGAAATGAACACCATGGTCAACCAAAACAGAAAGAAACAAAATGATATGGGTTCAACAAAAAGGAAAATGATGGTAACACAAAACTAAATAAACAAGTATTCAAATTAAAGATGAAGTATGTAATACTTATATTTTTTAAATCCCAGTTTAATATGCAGAGACATTTCTAAGCGACACATTCATTCTGAAGTTTACAGAATCCAAAGAAAGGACAATGAGATGCGATTTTAAAGAAGTTAAATTAGTTCAGGGGATTTATTTAAACCCGATCTTCTTAAGAACCAAATGATTCAAACCCAGAGAGCACCTAAGACAGATTTACACAGACGTCTGGCTGTAAAATGATAAGGATTTTTGAATGTTCTTATTTGACTTCAGGGTGGAGAGTGAATAATTGGGAGTATCATATCCCATCAGCGGAGGACATGTCGTCTTACCCTCCTGTTGCCTCCTCCAGGTGTGTGTTTAATGTTGTCCATAGATCCCACCTTTGACTGAGCCCTGAATTCAAGCTTCTCAGACCTGATCTCAATGTTTCCTCCGCCTTGAAAAAGCAGGTGAAATTGCTCATGATTTAATCAAATTAAACGCATTATATATTTACATGCATTCAAAACGCTAAGTAAATCAAGTCCAAGGTTTGTAAAATCCAAGGTGGACGAGCAGGATTACCTGGTTTGTGGCGAATGTTGACTTTCGATCCACACTTTGACTGCACATTGGTCAGGTCAATCTTTTTGTGGAGGATTTGCACCTTTTCAGAACAAAAAACAAGGGTTTTATTATTCTTCCAGGTGATTAAAATAAATTCTGTTTAAAACTATCCAAACACACTTCCACAGATTTGCACAAGAAAGACACACAAAAAAAAAAACTGTAACTCTTTAGTATAGGGACCAATTCTCAGTATTAATTAGTTGTTTATTAGCATGCATATTACTAGTATATTGGCTGTTTATTACTACTGATAAAGCATATATTAATGCTGTGTTGTGCATGGCCATAATTTACATCCCTTAATCCTACCCCATACCTAAACTGAACAACTACCTAATAAGCAGAAGAGTAGGAGTTTACTGAGGCAAAAGTAGTAGTTAATAGTTAGTTAGTATTGAGAATTGGTCCCCAAATTAAAATCTGAAAGTGCAACTGCTCAGTAAACTTTTCAGTCCCTTGAATGCAAAACACCCTCTTGGTGGTTTAGTCATCTCTGAGAATATCATTTTTTAAATTACATTTTTTTATTTATTTATAGAACTGTAATCTAACCTCAAATGATCATGAACCACAACCCTTTAATTATTTTAGGCGGTCATCTGTCTACTAAACAAGTTTGTTCTTCACTTTAGACTATAGATTTGAGGATACAACATGAGAACGGTACAATTGTGTACCATCCCTGCTCCCAAAAATAGAAGCAATGACCTCATAGCCACAGCTGTTGTTGTTGTTGTTTTTTTTCTGTATAAAAAGGCCTCAGTGTCTTCAGTGTGAGGTCAGCTCTCTGCTCTAGCCAACTGCTCACCACAAAGGAGCACTCGGCTGACCAGAGCACTACAATGAGATCCCTCTGTGCTAAAGAGCTGATGTCCTTCAACAGCAGAGGAGAGCAACTCATCTCTAAGGATCTCTATGGATCACTTGCTGGTACTTTAATGAGTGTACTGATTGTCCTTAATGACAGGCCGGTTGGCATTAAGGGTTAGGATTTTAGTGGTGGTCTGTTTTTGTAAGGACACAGGCTTTCCTCAAAGTCAAAAATCAGTCTTGTAATTATATGGAAAATTGTTTATTACATGCTTAACTGAGTCGAAACAATTAATAAATCACCATAAAAAAAAACTGAATTTATTAGGGTCTTGTACCCATTTAATTGTGAATGCTCATTTCCTGTATTTTTACATTTAGATTAAGTGAGCGAATTGAAGCTTCATTTAGGTAAAGTTAAGCTTTAAAAACACTAATATTTTAATAAATAACACTGTTAAATGTAATCTTTAACAAATCTCAAAAAGAATAACCATCTTTCATTATGATGCCAAAATTCACTTTTAGCATTTAAAATGACTGATTTTATATTTTATGCATTTAGACAAAAGCGATTTATCGGTTATTGGCCATAATTATTGGCTTATTAGTATCAGGCAGAATTGTAATATCTGTGCATCCCTACTATTAAAGTGCCCCTATTATGCCATTTTTAAGATTCCTAACATTGTTTTGGGAGTTTCCTATAATAGGTTTACATGCATGCAAGGTCAAAAAACGCTTTTGTTTTCTCAAAATATGCGTTTAGTATCGCCTCATTTTCCAATGATTCTCAAACAATTCGTTTAAAGCAGTTCTAAGATTCAGTCTCTCTAAACCCCTCCTTTCCCTGAGCCTACTCTGCTCTGATTGGTCAGATGGCCCAGTCAGTCTGTACTGTGTACAGTGCGTGTCGGAAACGATACGCCTATTGCCATAGTTCCGTATTTTGAACACTCGATAGAAAATATAAACATCTATTATTTATCATACTTACAGGTTGTGATTCAGTGGAACCAGCTGATCCAAATAAACTGGGTACTGAGCTCATCTTTCAAGAGCAAGCGTTTTGTGAATCCCACATTGAACACCCGAGATTAGTAAAGCAGTTGTCAGTAAAATGGCAGGAACACAAAAAAAGTTTTGGGTTGTACTGCTGAGGTACAGTGGAAAAAAATGAATTTGAACCAGATTCTTTGCAGCCTCATCTTTCGGAAGTGAAAATAAAATGAATTTACTTTCACAGCGTAAGACACAGCGTCTTCTTGACATGATGTTAACCACATGAATAAGCTACAGTGTTTGAGGGCGGGTCAAGTTGTTTGCGGCCGGCCAACGTAGAACATAGGCATGCATTATGCAAAGGTGTTACCCTGTGACGTGTAGCTGTCACAGAAGTGGGATTCGAACTGCTGACGACTCATTTGGGCTGTTCAAAGAACATTCTTTCTTTTTGGAGACAATAACTTTATTTATCGTGCATTTTTCAGTTTACATTCACATACAGCTACATTACACAGTGCATGAAAGGCAATATTCGAAATGTCATAATAGGGGCACTTTAAAGTCTCTATAGTATGATTTTTGGTTAAAACACCAACAAACGGGCCCCTGTTTACTCACTTTTCCACCTCCGGGTACATGTTTGATATTATCTTTGGAACCACACCTAGACTGCACAGTAGTTAAGTCCAACTTCTGATCAAGAATTTGAACCTGAAAGAGTAAACAGTTTGGGGTTATCTGTATTTTTTTAACTTGGGACCAGAGAGGAACCAAATGAGCCACCAGATGAAACTAACATAGTTCATCATTGGGAAAGGCTTTTTAGGCCATTAAAGTGCAGACGTTTTTGACTTTGAGAGGGTAGATGGAACGGGGTGTCCAAGGTTTCCACAAATGGTCATAACTTTAGGAAGAACCAAGACTGAAGGTGTTGAGTTCAACCCATAGTTACTCACATTGCCACCTCCAGGTACATGTTTGACATTGTCTTTGGAGCCACATTTAGACTGGACATTACTAAAGTCCAACTTCTGATCCAGAATTTGTTTACCTGGAAAATCAAATTGGGAAGAGCAGGAGTTATCTTTCCAATGATCTCAGAGACAGAAAGAACTACCAATGAGAAAGAGCCGTGAGTATGTGAATGGTACAGCACAAACATGAATTCACTATAATAGCTTTTTTTTCTCCCACTCACTCTTGACTTGTTCAACAATTGACTCAACAATTGTAAAAACCCTCTTTTACAGTTCATTGTCAAACCAAAAGTGTAGTCGGTGACTATGTAACAGACACAACTACTACATTGAATGAGAGCTTTCACTTTTATACAAGGTTTCCACAAATGTTCATAACTTCAGGAAGAACCAAGACAGAGGGTGTTGAGTTCATCCCATAGTTACTCACATTGCCACCTCCCGGTACATGTTTCAAATTGTCTTTGGAGCCACACTTTGACTGGACATTACTGAAGTCCACCTTCTGATCAAGAATTTTCACCTGAAAGAGTGCAGAGGTCAAGGAAAAGAAGAATTACCCTTTTGGTTGAAGCCAAATCAGAAACCTTCTGATTTTTACTAATAACATCTGAAGTATACAGTATTTACAACTTCATGAGGAACATCTAAGGGACATCTCGATTCAGTACAGTATGGCTGGGAGTTTGATTAGACTCCCATCTATCAGAAGTAAGGAATGAAAGAATAATGGCAAATTTAGGAGTGAACTGGTTCGCCATACCGTTTTATCCAATAGTAACTTACATTGCCACCTCCGGGTGTGTGTTTGATATTGTCTTTGAAGCCACACTTCACATTGGACATTAGTTGGACATTACTAAAGTCCATCTTCTGATCAAAAATGTGCTGCTGTTTAAAGTAAACGTTTGGAAGTTTTCATGAACAAAAACTGCAAATTGGTAAAAGTTCCCCGATACTCATGAAGCATAAAGACATATGTGACCCTGGACCACAAAACCAGTCATAAGGGTCAAAATTGAGATTTATACACCATCTCAAAGCTGAATAAATAAGCTTTCAATTGATGTATGGTTTGTTATGATAGGACAATATTTGGCTGAGATGCAACTATTTGAAAATATGGAATCTGAGTTACTTAATGTCCTAATGATTTTTGGCATAAAAGAAAAATCTATAATTTTGACCCATACAATGTATTTTTGGCTATTGCTACAAATATACCCCAGCGACTTAAGACTGCTTTTGTGGTCCAGGGTCACATATTGTTAAGTGCTTTCCAAAAATAGACTTTGGAACGGCAAACATTTTAGGTTGTTTGCACAACTGGATAGTTACCATTCTTGGGAAATGTAACCATTACAATACCTAGAGATAATATATTAGTCAATTCTCATTGTACAGTATAATTCTTAGCTAACATTTGGCAAACAGTGGCAGTTTACTGATGATGTTGGGATAGCCAATGACAAATACAATATAAAATGTAATAAAATAAGTAATAAGTAATAAAATGTATGTGTTGGATAGGGAGAGTTGTAATCTACTGCGACTTATAAACTATTCTTGAGAGAGTTATTTGAGTAATAAACAGGTTCATTAGCCTTTGACCACAATGACCACATGATTGATCAAGAAGTCATGGTAAAATATGTTTTTAACAACAAAAAAAAAATCGAATTTTAAATGTCAAATTTCAACGTTTTACAAGATTCAACTCAGTCAGTTTAATATAATTTTAGCTGAAATGACTTGTACAGCCAATTTAGGGTTGCACGATTATGACAAAAATCATAATTGTCGATTATTCCCTTGAAATTGTAATTGCGATTATTAATTTACGATTATCATGATGATGTTTATACCATTGTTTGATGCAACTGCACTGTTTATATGAAAATAAACAAGCTGAAAACACTCTAACTGAAAAACCTTTAGTGCTTTTCTATAGTATTAAGCTTCAAATGTCAACTATACATCGGATTGGTTTCTTCTTTAAATGATAAAAAAGTAAAAATATGAATGGTATTATAATGTTATACTAAAACTAAAACTAAAACAATGGAAAAACCCTTAAGATAACATGTAGAAAGAAAAAAACATATCTTAAGCACGCAGAATAACATAAGTGGACTTTGAACGATTAATTGCCGCTTTGAACGATTACGTAATTGTGGCATCCATAATTGTAATTGCGATTAGAAATTGGATTAATTGTGCAGCCCTAGTTGGATTCATTCCAGAGTTACTCACATTTCCACCTCCTGGTACATGCCTGAGGTTGGCTTTGGAGCCACACTTAGACTGAACATTACTGAAATCCACCTTCTGATCAAGAATTTGTACCTGTGAAAGGAAGAAGATAGGGAGAGTTGTAATCTACTGCGACCTGGGAATCAAACCCACAACCTTTTGCGCAGTTAACGCAATGCTCTACCACTAAGCCATAGGAACATGTAACATATGAACATATACTTATATCCACTAAGCACATTCTCCCCTCAGTTTTGCCATAATTTCCACCATAACCCACAATTTTCAGTTAGTGTAAATTCAGTTTCACAAGAACAAAACTGACGAGAGCTTGAAATAAGTTAAAGTAGAAAAGAGATAAATATCACTTGCGACAAAATATTTGTGAGTCATTTCCAACCAAGCTGTAATTTTCTCAAATTATGCAAAAGCTGTAAAAATATTATTTAAGGACACAAATGCTATGTGAAATTAGCCTTAACAAGACAAAGAATTTTGCCATTTTTATGACAAAGAATGTAATTTCCAGCACAGTATGTCATTTCCACTATAAAGATGTGTTGGACATGACATTTGTTAGCATATCAAAATGACAATTCTCTAGCGATACATGTATGCCCACTGTTGGACATTGTTAGACAAAAGCACTCATATTTGAAGAAGCATTCATAAACAAATGAGAAAAATTTATTATAGGCCTAATGACATGTTTGCCTGTTCAAACATACAGTTTATCGAAAGAACATTCAGTAATTATTAACCCATCCACTGGAAGCACAACCAAGTTATGCAATACAATTATTCTAAAATCATGCTGACTATTTTAACTTGTCAAAACTAACATCAAAGACAGAATTTTGTGTGAATGAGATGTTGGCCAGTTAGTAGGAGGAGAGAAAAAGATGCTGTTAATCACACCAGACAGTGTGCAAACTGGCAGTAAAAGAGGCGCAAAGTTAAACCATTCTCCACAGCAGCAGCAAGACACGGGGTCCGACACCAGCCGCTGTACTCACTCTTGGCCTGGATTCTTTGGGTCCAGAACTGGTGGCAGGTACTGAGGGAGATCTACTAGAGGAGGCCAAGGCCTTTTTCGGGATGGAGGAAGACGTTTTATGGGAGGAGGGTCTGACTTTACTGTTTTTAGGGGTCTTTACATAAAGAGCAAAACCATAGTGGACGAAAACTCCATGGAGTACAAATAGCGACAGAAAGCAAAATAAAAGGCAAAACAATTCTACAGTGAAAGTGGAAGAGAACAGAAAGATGATGCAAAATAGCTATTAGCACTCACCCTCTTCTCTGCATCACCATTGGTCTTGGACTGAGCTGTGAAGAACCAAAAAATGCACCAATATGAATACAATCAGTATATCAGAAATAGAATGCGAATAAATGTGTTGCTAAGCCTAGTGAGCTGCCTAACCATTACTAAATCATTACTAAACCTCACAAGTGACTAATCTGTAACACTAGAGACTCAACTTACAATCAATTTCAACGAGGTTTGATGTTCACATGTTGCTAACAAGGCGAAACAAATACATAGCACATACAATTACTGGATAAAATAGTTTGTTTCAAATGATGTAAAACCGTTTTTATACATTCTTTAAAGTATTGAATTCAATGGTTTTAGTTTATAATCAACATTTCGCTCACCTGGCCTGCCATATTGGATTTAAAAGTTGATCGTAATACATTCTGATACTGCCTTTTCCATGAAGGAAGCCTAAATAAGAGGTCTGCAATAATGCACATACGCTTCTTTAAAGTTCTTCCTCCGTACACTCTTAGAAATAAAGGTTCTTTATTGGCCATGATGGTTCCATGAAGAACCTTTAACATATATGGAACCTTTCCATTCTACAAAAGGTTCTTTATAATGAAGTCTTTAGATTTTAAAATGTTCTTCAAAATGAGAAAGTGGTTCTTTTAAGAACTGTTAACAGAAAGGTTCTTTGGAGAACCAAAATGTTTCTTCTATTGCATCGCTGTGAAAAAATCCCATTGGAAACTTTCTTTTTTAAGAGTGTAGGCCGCTGACTAGGTTCCAGCTATGTTAACAGTGTGGAAATACCTTTGCTAAATTGACTACAGTTTGCTACATTTATTCCTAATGCTTTCTCTCTTTTTCTTAACTTGTGAATATTAACTGGATATTAATTCTATTGTTTTTAAGAAACATATGAGAAAGTAAGCTGTAAATGAAAGTGAGGGGATCTGTTAAAGCAGTGCTGCACCAGATGGTGTTGTGAACGCATGCAAGTAGCACATTCATGCACACAGACATGCCAAACTGAACTCATTGAAACACGGCCAGCAAACACGGATTTTATAAAGCGGCGCAAAACAGGCTTCAAGACCACCAGAGGGAACAAAAGAATGACAGAGTGAGACTGAGTGCCTAAAAAAGGACGACATGTAGCAAACAACTGCAGAACAACAGATCGTTCTCCTCAGCACGCTGTTCATTTTGTAGGATGTTCGTTATAGACAGAAATTGGTGCAAAGCGGCTCTGTAAAACATAGGTGGAGGCAAACCAAGGAAGAGACACTGCACTGGGATTCTGTGTTAACTGCACAGACCTTTGAACTGAGCCACCGGCACCAGGGATTTTCTTGAGACGTGGACACCTTTTGGAGAGCCAATTGTGCTTGTAGAGGAAGCAGTGGCTTCTGTCTTTTTGGTCTCTGCATCTTTGGCGGTAACAATAACGTTGTGATTACCCCCAGATAACGTAGCATCAACTTTCTCCTGCACTTTGCCCATTGCTTCCATGTGTTCATGAGGTAGACTTTTTGTAAAAATATGTTCTTTGGTTTCAGAAGGTGCATATTCAGCGAGAGTTGTCTGAACCCTGCTGGCCCACGCCGGAAGCTTTCCTTCTTCAACATGGCTCTCATTGCCATAAAAAGACAGTTCTTTCTCTTCCTGAAGGGTCTCGCTGTAAGGAGCCCTGGCTTCTACAATCCTCTCCCCGACGGATGTCAGGTTTTCCAGGGCAGCGCTGCAGACCAGGAAAGTCACAGGTGGCTCATTCTCCAAAGACAGGCTCCTGGTGCGGTCTGGACTGACGGATGTCCGTCGATGATGGGAATGGACCGGTCGTCCAGACCAGCTGCTTCTGAGGAGGTCTTCGTCCTGCTCTAGTATTTTCTGGTGGTCTACACAGCTCCAGTCCGAGTGTTGATCATAACCATCCGGTGAAAACCCTGCTGCTAAAGCTGGAAACAAAGCCGCTCTTGCCTTTCACTAATGCACGTCCCATTCACCATGGACAGACAGTGGTCAGAAGATTTATAGAAAGCAATGACAACATCGATATCACTTTTCCCAAGGAAACTGTCACATGATAAGGAGGGAACAAAAATACTTGTGGTGACAACCGAAGAGGAAAGACGATGAGCAAACATAACAAACTGGTTTGCTGGCCTTTGCTAACATCCAAAACAAACAGCTGTGATGAAACCGGACTTCACACTGAACACAAAAATATGAGCTGATAGGTGCAATTAAAGAGCAAGATTGTTGGCAATAAGTGTTTTTTTTTTTACAACTGAAACATAAAAAAATTTTCTTTTTGTGTCACTATCCTTGTGAAAAAGTATACTGTTTATTTAGTATTTATTATGGATAATGATATGCGATAATTGATATACGATAAAAGAATTTGCTTAAGTGTGAACTTAATGTAATGTTTATTTTATGTTATTTACAATTAAATAAAAACGGATTATTAAGTGCAAGAGTGCTTTTTGACCCACTTAATTAAATATATGTTATTAATTACTTAATTGTCTTTGAAATAGGATTAAAGCACACCGCCGAATGTACTGACAAGTACATTTTATTATAAAAGTATATTTAAAATATACTAACTTTAACTGTAATATCAAATTACAAAACAGTTAAAATTGTTATTAAATATTTTACATGTGAGTCAAGAAATCAAAATAAATGCACTTCTTTAAAGCATGTCAAAAAAAATTTTAATGTAAAATTTGTATGGCCCTAAAAAAAGTAACACTTTTCATTTGACGTTATTACAAAAGTAATTATTGGAGTCTGCTCTTTAAAAGCACCTAGTTTCTACTGATTATTAAAATAAAATGGACATATCTCTGTGAATTCACAAAACCAAATAACCAGTACAAAATACAGATGAGTGAGGTGGAGTACTACCAGAACAGAGAAAACAGAGAAAACAAACTGTTAAATTTAAAAAATATATTTTAATAAAAAAAGGAAAAAACATCTACGAGATCATAATTCATGTAGCATAATGGCTATTCTACAAAGCATGACACTAATGTGGTAGTTGTGTAAGAGTAAAATAGTGCTTTACCTGCGGGTGCCGTTCCTCCAGCTTATTAATGATCAGGATATGTAGCAAACAGAGAGAGAAACATAAAAGACAATATTAGAGAACCACATAGCATATTTTCTGGCAATTTCAGCTACAGAGATGCACTATAAACACTATAACCTAGAGTGAAATCAGACCATCAATATACTACACTTCATTTCGAAATCACAAAAGAAACAAATACTTGCAATTAAAGCACTGTGACCTATGACAGAAAAGCTTTGGCTGAGATCCTATTTGGCACAAAGCATTAATTCCAGACTTGGCATAACATCACACCTACCCTGGCAAAGGCAGCTGAGCTCTCTGAGGTCTCTGTGACTAATCACATGGGAACTAATCTGAGAATGGCGCTGGAGTCTCCCTCGAGTTTATTTTGATTTAAAAGCCTGAAACCTGTCAGCATGCTTCAGCAGTGATGTCAAAATTAAACAGTGTGCTTGCAGACATACATATTACCTTACACTTTAAAAATCACCCCAATGTAAGCGCAACATAAAAAGGATTTCAAAGCAAGAAATGGCAATTTGAAACAACTGCATCCAAGATGGCATTCTTGTTACCAGTAGGCCCACTTCAAACAGAAGCAAATGCATCCTGCAGGCTTAAAATATGCAACAAATCAGTAAAAAAAAATGCTATAGAAAATTAGAAACATTAGGATGTAAGGCACAAAGGCATCCACATCAATAAAGGCACAAAAGGGCAGTCAAGCAAAGCATGTCAGTCAAAAGAGGCAGCAGTTGATGGAGCAGAAGGTCCGTACCGCTCGTCACTTCCACAGCAGGCTGGGACTGATCTTCTTTCTCTTCCTGTCTTGAATCTTGGGGGCTTTCTATAAAACAATCATTTGAACAGTTCACACACCAAGCTCCTAAAGGAAGTCCTGGTTTACTTGTGCAAGTGAAGCTGCTGTTAAAGTCTAAAAGCAAGCCAGAAATGGAAGGTTTAGATTCCCAACTCAGCTGCAGTGAGACTTTAGCTGACTTCAAAAGTGCTCTGCTGAAAGCAAATAACTGGATGATTAACTCACATGAACACTATAACAAAAGATCAATTAAAACGGGGAAAAAAACACATATCCAAACAACCGGAAACAAAGCTAACACAGTCTTGAAACTCTGTATATTTAACAAGGCAAAGTTAGTAATAGGCATTGCACTGCATGAATAAAAAGAATTACTTAATATTTAAAAAAATAAAATAAAAATTGATTAACTTTTTATTTTAAAAAAGGGCAATTTGTAAGGGAAAGCGAAGACAAACTGCATTTCAAAGCATCTTTATTATAAGTGCAGCAATGCATACCACACTGCTTCTCCTCAGCAGAGGAGGTGCCTTCAGCACTACTGAGCTCAACATCCACCCGTTCTTCTGAAAACTCTTCTGTGAGAGAGAATGTTGGTTAAAAAACACATAAGGCACAACTTATGTAGAGTCAGCTGTTGTTTTGAGACAATCAGTATTCATAGAGTATTCATTCATATGTTTAAAGGTTCTATTTGACATTGTATTCATCTTAATTGACAAAAATGATCACTTTATACAGATAAGACATTTTTGTTTTAGTTTGTAAAACAATAATAAAACAATATTTATTTATTCTATTTAATTTTGTATTTTTTGTTTAGTTTTTGTTTTGTGCAAAGTATTATGTTTTTCAACGGCAATAAATTGATGTCAAACAGCTGAAGCAATCAGTCACACTGTACTGTGAACTCTATGCAATCTCATCAATTTTTCTCTGCAACTGGATCTCTGAACTTGGTAGGGAAAAAACTAATTAATTCAGTTGTTGTAAGAACGCATTTAAATGTAAAAATACACTGCTAATTTTACCGTCAAATTAAATATAAGGCGAGAAACTGATCCCAGCTGAATGTGCTGGCAACCCATATCAGCAATAACCTGCAGTGCTGGAAAGTAACTGTTTATTGAAGTAACAAGAAACATTGTCCAAAATATCTAAAAGAAATTTAGTCCATTTAGGTTTTCAAAAACTTTGGCATTCAAACAGAATAAATCAGTGGTGCGGAAACTTTTTACTATGAGGGACAAAAATTAATTGAGGGCTGTGGACCGAAAGTAAATTATGCATTATATCCAACTATATCATAATAAAATGTCAAATTGAACCGAATCGAATCAAATTGAATTGATAGTCATCTAATAATTGAAAAAATAAAATAATTAATTAGAAACAAAGATATGATTCAATGGCATGGCGGGCCAAAACAAAGGTCATCATCACAGGCCAGCATTGGGCCATACTACGATTTGATTGCAGCAAAATGGGACGACACTGGTGAAAACATTGTTTTGAGCATCCATGACATCCTGATGACAATTTCCTATTATTCAAATTATTTAAAATAAGTAAATAAATGTGCAATACTATGAATTCTACAAAAGCAAGCAAAATATGTCAAAACAATTTTAAAAACATCATTCAAAATTTTTTACATTATAGTTCATTTGCAGCTGTACACAATAGGGGCTTTCACACATACAGCCCTTTCTGGATAATTACCAGTAAATTACAACTTAGAGATCATGTTGTCACGGAATCACCAGTCTCCACCCTTACCCAGTATCAGCGTTCTCAGTCTCCCAATTACTAATTATCACCAGCTGTCACCGATCACTCCAGCACCATACAAAAGGACTTGCCACACACACACACACACACTTTGTCTGGTCTCATCTATGGCTAAGACTGCATCTGTTCGGATTGTTACTTACCTGAAGATTACTTACCTCCATGATCCAATCCTCTTCTCCTTTCAGTCTCCCGTGATCCTCCTACAAGACAACAGGAAAGTGTTCAATATCTCTCAGTGACTATCTAATAGTGTGCGTGTGGCAACTCACCATTCCTCTCACGACTCCGTATTTTCACCTTCTCTGCTGCCATATGTTTGATCCAAGTAATTTAATAAAGTGTTTCTGGATTGTTTGAAAACTTACCGGTCTGTACAGTGTGTGTTTCCTTGACAGAAGACCAGACCGAAGACAGGAACCGGCAGCATGAGCACTTAGGGCACTTTGCACTTAGCAACCCTATCCATTTCAGGAATTGGTGGATTTGCTTCGCTAGTCTTTCTCACCCAACCACTGCCGCACCAGTCACTGCACCAAGCACTTCTTCACCACCTACCATTGTCGCCAGTCCCATGGCCAACCTGGTGCCCTACTCTGGTTCAGCGGAGGAGTGCAACGGATTTCTGCTACAATGTTTGCTGGCCCACGAGATGCAGCCGCATTCTACATGGAGCTGCATTCCACCCTATTAAAATGGAGAGTACTGCAGAGGGCAAAATGACCCTGTAACGCAGACATTAAACGGCTTTGTGGCACTTCCGCGAAGTTTTTGGTAAGCCAGCTGGAGCTACTTTTACTGGTGATCAACTTTATCAATTGAAGCAAGGAAAAATGTCCATTAATGATTATGCCCTGAAGTTTCGTACCCTAGCAGCAGCAAGCGGCTGGAAGGAGAGCTCTCTTATCACCACTTACCGACAGGGATTGTAGCCTTAAAGGGTTAGTTCACCCGCTGACCTCATACGTCATCCGCCCTTTATGTCACGTCTTTTGAACAGAAGGAATGCAACACCCGCCGAGTACAACGATAGAGCTTGAAAGATCAAAGACAATTTTTAATATAACTCCGACTGGATTCGTCTGAAAGAAGAAAGTCATATACACCTAGGATGCATTGGGGGTGAGTAAAACACAGTCTAATTTTTATTTTTGGCTGAACTAACCCTTTAACTCCAGCTGCATTTCGCTGCATACAATGATTCCATATGCCTCAAGAAATTTATCCAACTCTCTATTTGAGTAGCCCATTGTATGCAGGGTTGTGGAGAGATCTTCCAGGGTCAGCCTAACATCTCCTCCGCCTCTCGTCAGCCAGAGCCCACCAGCTCTCCAGAACCAGAACCCATGCAAGTGGAATCTACACGGGTTATCCCTGACGGAACGCAGGTGGCGGCTGACCCAGAGATTATGCCTCTATTGCGGTGCTGCTGGGCATGTTATTGTCGAATGCCCCATCCGACCTCCTTGACCGTTGATGAGTGTTGTCCAAGCTACCTATGTTAGTTCATCGCATCTTACTACCAAAGTGTTCATTACTGTCTCGAATATCTCCTTTCCAGTCACCGCACTCGTCAACTCTAGGTCAGCCGGGAACTTTATCTTTGGTGCTCTCTGACGCCAGTTCCACCTCCAGAAGACACCATGTGAGAGACATTACAAAGCCCAATCCATCATTGGAAAACCCCTGAACTGTGCAGACATCCGGTATAGAGTGGGTCCACTTCACTTACATGTTGGAATGCTCCACCAAGAGGAAATTCAGAATTCTACCTCTGGTGTCATCCTAGAGTAACCGTGGTTAATGCAACATCATCGAGATCTCCCTTGGGAAACTGGTGAGATTAAGAAATGAAGCAAGCGATGTTTTCCTACATTACCCATTCCACTCAAGAAGGAACCGAAATCAGTAGTCGTCTACTCCGCCTTCGTCAAGACACCCATGAATCAACAATCTGTTGACATCCCTGACTGTTACTCCCAGTTCAAAGATGTCTTCTGTCCCAAGTGAGCTTCCCAGTTACCACCACTCCGGCCATGGGACTGTGCTGTTGATCTCCTTCCAGGTGAACCAGTAGCCAGCGGCAAAATCTATACTTTAACACTACCTGAACTAGAAGCCATGGAATACATTCAGGAGGCTTTACAACAAGGATACATCAGACCATCTACTTCCCCTGCTACTTCTTGCTTCTTCTTTGTGGCAAAAAAGAATGGAGGCTTGCGGCCCTATATAGATTACCGTGCCCTCAACAAGATCACCGTCAAATTCAGGTATCCCCTTCCTCTCATCCCAGCTGCATTGGAACATCTGAGGGGAGCCAAGATCTTCACCAAATTGGACCTCCGCAGCGCGTACAACCTCATCCGGATACACGAGGGGGATGAATGTAAGATGGCCTTCTTGGCCACTCTGAATATTGCATTATGCTGTATGTGCTGGTAAACACCCCCTCCTTGTTTCAGGATTTTATGCACGAGATGCCTGGCTGAACATCGCCAGCACATTGCGAAGGTCCTTCAGAGACTCCGGGAATTCAACCTGTTCCTCAAGGCTGAAAAGTGCCAGTTCCAACAATCAGAGATCCAGTTCCTAGGGTACATTGTCAACCAAAATGGTATCTCAATGGACGAGAGGAAGGTGGAAGCTATTCGTAACTGCCCCACTCCCAAGATTGTCAAAGAGCTCCAAAGATTCCTTAGATTCGCCAATTTCTACATCCAAAACTACAGTTCCATTACCCAATGGAGGCACTGGCTTGAGGAACTTGCCATCAATTCACAGTGTGGACTCACCATAAGAACCTCCAATACCTCAGTGATTCCAAACGACTTAACCCTCGTCAAACTCGTTGGGCCTTATTCTTCACCAGACTTGACTTCAAGATTGCATACCATCCTGGTTCCAAGAATGGCAAGGCTGATGCACTGTCTTGCATTTACTCCTCTGATGATTCTTCCAAACAACCTGAGCAGATCCGAAAGTATTCTTAAACCCCATCCAGTGGACACCTCTGAGGAAAACCAAGCCAGTGCCTCTAAGAGTCCACCACCAGGTTGTCCTCCTGTCCGGCAATATGTACCAAGAATCCAACAAACCAAACTCCTCCATACAGCTCATTCCTCTGTTAGTACTGGTCACCCAGGGGCCAATCAAACCCTCTCACTACTTCAAGATAGTTTCTGGTGGCCCAGCATGGCACAAGATGTGAGAAGGTTTGTGAGTGGATGTACAGACTGCGCCATTTCCAAAAGTCCCCATCATCTTCCATCAGGCAAAATCCTTCCTCTGCACGTTCCAAATCACCCTTGGTTGCATCTAGGGTGGATTTCATCATGGATCTACCTCCTTCTCAATGTAATACCTGCATCTTTGTGATTGTGGACAGATTCTCCAAGTCATGCAGACTCATTCCTCTCAAAGGGCTACCCACAGCTATGGAAGCCGCCAAACTCCTTTTTAACCATGTTTACAGATACTTCAGTATACCCGAAGACATCATGTCCGACAGAGGCCCTCAATTTATGTCCAGAGTGTGGAGAGCATTCATGAAACTCCTAAATATGACAGTCAGTCTGTCTTCAGGATACCACCCTCAATTGAATGGGCAGACAGAACGGAAGGTACAGGAAATTGGACTCTTCCTCCGAACCTTCTGCCATAACCACCAGAACTCCTGGAGCCAGTATCTCTCCTGAGCCTAGTCCACACAGAATTTTCTGTGCCAGCAAACCACAGATCTTACCCCATTTCAGTGCATACTCGGACATAAACCACCAATGTTCCCATGGTCTGGGGAACCTTCTGATGTACAATCGGTGAATCACTGGTTCCGGGAGAGTGAGAGGGTCTGGGACTCATCACCTACAAGGAGCCATCTGGAGGCAAAAGGACCTTGTCGACGTCCATAGATCCACAGCTCCCAACTATCAACCTGGACAAAAGGTATGGATTTCAACCAGGACTATTAGGTTGCGCCTACCATGCAAGAAGCTGTGTCCCAGGTACACTGGCCCCTTTGAGATCATCAAGGAGATCATCTTATTATCCTTCCAGTTAAAACTCCCTGATCACTACCGCATTCACCCAGTATTCTATGTTTCACAACTCAAACCCTATCACTCACCAGTATCCCTTTCCTCCACAGAGCCTGGTGATGGTGATGTACCTCCCTTACCGCCAGTCGAAGAGGATGGAGCAGTCTTCACGGTACAAAAAAATTTTAGACTTCCGGTGCCGAGGTGGTGTACCGGAATATCTGGTAGACTGAGAGGGCTATGGTCCAGAAGAACGCTCATGGGTCCCAAGAAGGGACATACTGGACCCTGATCTACTCGCCACTTTCCACAATGCTCATCCGGAGAAACCTGCACCTCGCAACAGAGGTCATCCACCTCGACGCCGGGGTAATCTGCCCTCAGAAGCGGTCTGTGGAGAGGGGGGTACTGTCACGGAATCACCAGGCTCCACCCTCACCCAGTATCGGCGCTCACAATCTTCGGCTTACTAATTATTACCAGCTGTCACCGATCACTCCAGCACCATACAAAAGGACTTTCCACACACACACACACACACACTTTGTCTGGTTTTGTCTATGGCTATAACTGCATCCGTTCGGATTGTTACTTACTTGAAGATTACTTACCTATGTTATTCTATCCTCGTCCTGGTTTCCAGTCTCCAACTCCTCTTCTCCTTTCAGTCTCCTGGTGATCCTCCTACAAGACAACAGGAAAGTGTTCAGTATCTCTCAATGAGATACTAATAGTGTCTGTGTGGCAACTCACCATTCCTCTCACAAATTTCACCTGCTCTGCTGCCATATGTTTGATTCTGGATTGTTTGAAAACTTACCGGTCTGTCCAGTGTGTGTTTCCCTGGCACATGTATAAACAGGACCTTTTGAAAAATACCTGGAAATTAGTTCTAGAAATTCCTGAATGAAAAGTTGTAATTTTACTAGTAAAATTACCGTTCTCTCAGTAATTATGAAATTACTCTGCACTGTTTACAGTAAAAGCCGGTTCACACATTTTTTTGTTCCACTGCGCTGCTTTTGAATTGTTTTTCTATGTAAACAAGCACTAGATGGACATCTTTGACCACTGCACCACATTTCACTGGTTTTCCAGCATCTTGCACATGAGTGTTGTGTCGTAATGTGTTGATTAGCCCCAGCCATTTGGAAGTCAAAAAATACTGTCAAATAGTGAAACTGAAGTATTTCTCCTCATTCAGGCAGGCTAAATGGCTCAGCATTTAAAAACAATTTCTGATGATTTACATTACGTTTACATTTATCTGTATTTTGGTGAAGATGTGTGAATGATATCTTATGTTAAGCTTTCGCTTGTGTGAAAGCAGCGAATGTTTAATACTGTGTTCCTAGAGCCACTAACATACTAGCTTTACTATCTATAACATACTCACTCTCTGATGTGCCATTGCAGTATCTGCCATTTATTGGTGGCAGATGCTCTGAGCAGTGTTTCCTCCTTGTGTGTGGAATTACAGGAAGAGCAAAAGGGGAGAAAGTGTGCACTAGTGAAGGCTGTAAACTAGGGAAATATAAGCCACGCACTAAAGAATGCAGGGGGTCACAGAAGAAAAAAGAGAGAGTGTTATGGTCCCATTTAAGGCATGTGAATACATACAACACAACGGAAGACTCTGTGACAAGCTGGCACCTTTACAAAAGACTGTCAGTCAATACCACCAGTGTTTGTTCCTTTCCATATACATCCTTGGAGTTCAACGATTGGCTGTGGTTTTAAACAAACAACTACGTTTAGAAAACTCTGTGTTCTCCAAAAAAAGCAGGATTTTCCCAGGACTATGATGCAACATCATTAATTTAAAGGAATAGTCTCAGTTTAATACCAAGAATAAAAGTCAAAATAGCTGATAAAAACATCACAATAATACACAGGTAATCCACATGACTCCATTCCATCAATTGACATCTTGTGAAGTCAAAACCTGCATTGTTTGTAAGAAACAAATCCATCAAGATGTTTTTACTTTCGCTTCTGAGAAAATTCCCATAATCCATAATAACACCTCCTCCAGTGAAAAAGTCCATCCCCTGTTGTTGGAGTGTGTTGTGTGGATTATTGTGATGTTTTTATCAGCTGTTTGGACTCTCATTCTGATGGCACCCATTCACTGCAGAGGATGCATTGGTGAGCAAGTGATGTAATGCTAAATTTCTCCAAATCTGTTCAGATGAAAAAACGAACTCATCTACATCTTGGAAGACCTGAGGGTGAGTACATTTTCAGCAATTTTTTGGTGAGCTATTGCTTTGAGAAACTAGAATCTGTGCTAGAATGACTGATGCCATCACAGTAAAGAATGTCAAATGAGCAAAGTTTAATCAGTAGCTTTGATTCAGCTACTGAATAAGACAACTGTTTATACTTTTGGTCGAACAGTGAATGAAAGGGTTTCAAACTCATTTAACGTCCATTGATTGTGCCTTTCTCATGCCTTTCTCATGCCTTCCTTTGTACACTGTCGCCTTATATTTTCTGTAACTCAACTGAGAACCAATTTCATTACTGTGTGCTTTTCAAAAGCCTAATGTCTGCAAGCAGAAAACACAAAACCTCATACACTTGAAGAAGAAAGCAGGGTGTGTGATGGTGTTAAATTAGTACCAGAGAACGTCCTGAGTGGAGGGTGACCCACATGCCTGGATTACAGCACGACGCAGCTGCAAAGCCTGGATTGAGGGCCCAGTCAAGCACAGCCTTGTGGTTTATGTAAAGGAATTAAAACACAAGGCTGTATCAAAGCGTTGCTGCCACTGCGGCCACATTCATCACTAAAATATGTATAAAGATCATACGCCCTGCAATGTCTTTGATCATTTGATACGTTTATTTGCTCATGACGGGAGGAAACACACGTTAGCGGTCATGCTAATTGACGCTCAGAGGGATTACACATCTACGTGTATGTAGTATCACAGTGAATTTGTCTGCTAATGAAGTCATTAATATAATCTCATTATTTAGTAGGCATACGTGCAAATCTTTCTTTGGTGTATAATGCAGAACTAGGCTACATTGTCTGATAATATCATCCCCTGGCAGCCAAGATATATCAGATTTTGCCTGTCATAACATTGTCCTTGTAATATTTAATAGTGTGCACTACATGTAAATAGATATCATTTATGAATAATTGTAATTATATTTCATCCTTATTGGCTGTGGATCTTTTTTACACTCTAAAAACAAATATTTTTGCTCAACAACATTGGTGCAAACTATTGTATTATTTTTCAATCTTTTTGAGTTATGACAACTTCTGATGCAATTATTGTAAGTTGTTCTAACAAATGTATGTATAATTGAATGGAGGCCCCTGAACCAACTAATCTTATCTATTTCAATTTAAATTAACAGCTAACACATCACAAGCTAACTTATCTTATTTGTTCATTAAATTTACATGCTAAATATTGTTGCTCATATGTAGCCTTTCACAACTTAAACGAAAGCACTACTTTTCAGCACAACGGTAACCACAAAAACTTCAACATAACATAAACTCTTTTAAATGTCAAAAATTCAAACACATCAGCATTAAACACTTTCCATTCACTAAAAAACACATAAAATAACATTTTAGAATAAACATTTATTCTCCGCATCGAATTGTATGCAAAACTAGAAATCTACTGCCCAGTTCTCAAAGCTATCAAGGCAATTTCATTAAGCTACTACAAATTTTATTTACTTAAAAGGTTTAATTAAATAAATAAATGCATGGTTGAAAGTTAAAATTCAAATTTAAGTTGTGGTAGGACTTCCGCTGAATGTGTAGATCATATTCCATACAAGTATGTCTTTCAAGGACAATTAAACTTATCCTTCAACTACATGTGAATGCTGTCATGATACACACACACCCTGTTCACACTGCAGAGCTTGTTTAATAGTTCTGACTAATCAGTTAGGTTAATCATTATGTAGTTATTTTGACCGGCGGTGACACAACCAACCTGTTTTCCCACAGAAGCAAGCTCACCTTTCATTGGACAGTCCCCTGGTCTCACAAGCCCCACCGCAATTCCAATCTCCTTATGGAACTGGTTGCCATGGTGATGATCGTTGATGGTCATTCCAGAAAGGGAGGTTGCCATGGTATCGCTAGAGTTGTAGTGAGCCGTGTGGCTATTGGGCGAGGAGCTCAATAAATCGTGCTGCTGGTCCATAGCAAGTCCAAATGAGGATACTGGAGGGGGAAGCGAGGATGGAGGGTAAAGATAAGAGAGAAAAGAGTAAGAAGGGTATAAAAAGAAAGAAAGAAGGGAAAATAAAAGGAATAAGTTAGTGGATGCACAAGAGAAAAGCAGTTCAAAATGCTTTTGCCTGGCACTAATTGTTTTGCTTTGATTCCTTGTGGCAAAAATGACTTTTCAGTGCTGACAGAAGAAAAAAACTGTTATTTCCGGGGGAAAATTCTGGTTGAAAACCTCAGAAACAACTGTCAGGCCAACCATATGACTTGAGTGAGTGAGTCAACAGTAGAGGTGTCCACCAACTTTTCAAAAGACAGCGTGGGTTGAATCAATATCCAATTGTCAGGACCTGTCTCTTCCAAAGGCTTCACACAGGGCTGTCACAAGCTCAACGTAAACAGAGCCAGAGTGCCGGTGTGAACCTGGATATTTATACTGCCAAACATGCCGGTCTAGCTTAAGGTTACTGCTATGTGGCCTAAAATAGTGCAGTCAAGCCAACGTGTTTCTATGTACCTCCTGCAAGCCTTTCTGTAGCCACTTTATTTAAACCATTGTATCGCACAACGTAACAGTGCACTTGCAAAACTGCTTTGGTATGTTCTTATTGTAATTGTCAAATCACAGAAAACACCCCTTTTTTCCACTGACTGCAATTGTTGTTTTTACATGGGACACTCCCGCTCCAGAGCTACGAAGTGTTAGAAATCCAAATATTTGCTAATGACTACATAGTTAGTAATACTATAATAATCGCTAATGTTGAAAATCCATCCCATTAGTGGTACTTAGTTATTAGGATATTTAGTCAGCTACCCAGCCCAAAGCAGATTATACATGTTGGATATTTCACAGCCATCCTGATGCACTATTCAACCTACATATACAAACACACACTCATTACACAGACAGCACCCAGCCCTGCAGACATCCCGACAGCTCATTCTGACGTGTGTGCTTGTAGCACTCAGAAACGGTGTGCTTTTTCATTTTCTTTCTAGTGCAATGGGAGTGTAATGATTTTCAACACACACATCAGTAAAGTTTTTCATGTTTTTTAAAAGAAATGCAAGTCTGCATTTATTTAAAGATTTAAAATGATGGTTTTCTGTTTTAATATACTTTAAAATATAATTTATTCCTGTTACGCAAAGCTGAATTTTCATCAGCTATTACTCCAGTCTTCCGTGTCACATGATCCTTCAGAAATCATTCTAATATGCTGATTTATTATTAATGTTGGAAACAGTTGTGCTGCTTATTTTTTTTTTTTGGAACCGGTAATATTTTTTCAAGATTCTTTGATGGATAAAAAGTTAAAAAGAACAGCATTTATTTAACACAGAAATCTTTTGTAACAATGTAAGTCGTTACTATCACTTGGTTTTGATTAATTTAACATATCCTTGCTGAATAAAAGTATTAATTTCTTTCCAAAAAGAAAAAAAAGAAAAACAATGTACTGACCCCAAACTCGAACGGTATTGTTACAAAAGCTTTTTATTTATTGTGTGTGTATCTACCTACCCATCCATCCATCCATGAGTTGAATTACTGAAATAAATGAACTTTTCCACGACATTCTAATTTATTGAGATGCACCTGTATATATATATAGTTACATGAAATTAACATTAAATAAAACATTCACAATTTTTGTATTTCACAGCCCAGCCCTCCAGACATCAAGACAACTATAAACAGCTTTTTATAGCTTTTTTTTCTCTCTCTAAGATTTACACCCATTCAGAATTTTTAGGGTGATGAATCAAGGTAAAGCCAACTAAATAGCTTTTCACATTACTAACCCTTATTAAACTATAATATAATATAACCTGAGATTTTGAACAACATGATAAGGTTGAGTAAATGATGACAGAACTTTCATTTTTGGGTGAACTATCTATGTACAGTCACAGAAAGTTTCATGCATTATTTAGTTTCATCATCTGAGGTTTAAAAGTGTCAAACATTGATGGCAAACATTGATTGGAGTAGCAGCATATTATAGTAGATAAATGATTCAGAGAGGGAAGAAATAAGCTTAAAGGCCCGTTCACAACAAGAATGATAACTATAAAGAAACTACAAAGATGGACGATACCATCTGTTTACTCTAAGCGCACCCTCGTCTACCGCTTTCAATTCTCAAGCTCCTGATAGCAGGATTGATTCTGATTGGGTGTCAATGTTTTTATCATTCATCATGTGGAAAAAATCGTCCTGAATGTGATTCCAATGATATAGTTTCTCTGTGCATTTATCGTTATAGCTGTGGAATGGACTCTGCTATTCTTTGATATTGAAAACGATTTTTAGAACTATATCTTTATAGTTATCATCCTTGGTGTGAACAGGCCTTAAGAATGCTGTAGAGCATTAACAGCATTGTCACTGCCACAGCAGTGTGACTATACAAAACACAGCTGTTGATGTATTCCATTAGCATTTATTGAATACCTTCTTAGTTATATAAAAAAATTGCTCTTCTCTTTCATCTTCTTATGGGTTTCCCTGCTCTGTGTACTCTACTAAAATCCACAGCCAAGAAAAAAAAAACCTGTCTGGATTCTCCAAGTCATTGCATTGAACAGTGGGAAAAATCTCACCTGCTTTATGTGCATCTCATCTGGCGCACAAGCTGTCTGGAACACAGTGTTTGCACAAGGATTCAGGATCTTTGCTCTCTTACCTTTCCTCAAAGCTTTTTGTACACTGGGAATGTAATGACTGTTCAACATGTGTTACTGTTTACCTAATATACAGTATATTTTCAAATAGAGCAAATAAATTCTAGGGTATAACAAAAAAGACTATTATATAGTGGGATCCAAAAGACTTCTAGAATGGAATTTTTTCCTTTTTTTTTTTTTACAATTTACATTATGATAATCACAATTGTAGTGAAAAGTTGAATTGACATGATTTACATTTCAGAACATCTTAGCATTTGGTATGTCACCCTTTTGCTTTATTTACAGCAACAAATCATGATTTGTGATCATGTTTTCCCATATAATTTGAGAATGGTCCAAAGAACAACTTGTTCTACAATGGAAGCAAGAACATCTGACCATCAGTCACATCGATCATGTGAACTCCTTTGTACAAATTTGCTCATTTGATTAGTGACCTAAATAGTGCAGAATCTCTTTATTATTTATGCCATAACTTTCCAAATGTACATTTTGAATCCCTGATGTTCAACATGACTTTTAGACCCCACTGTATATCCAATGAGTTTTGAGTTAAAAGACCTTTTAAACATGTCCTGACTCCACCTAGTATGGACCATAACACCACATGCCTCCAAGGGCATTTGAAGAGCACCATCTAACCAGGCACTAACATCTGTTGTATTTTGTGTGGCGGTGGTGCCTCATTTTGAGTGTTAAAGCATAAAAACTTGCACAGTTGGTGCTCTAAAGTATGTGGATGTCTGTGTGTGTGTTCAGGGAACAAGAATGATGAACTTGGCGTGGCTCATGGCCCTTCCGCAAAGCCACATAAACAGAGCTACTGCGAGGGTGTGTGCGGCTAGAGAAAGCACAAGATCAACATAGATGTTTGCACAGCACCTGGGATACTATGCAAAGACATATTCACCGCAGTACACACATAAAGCCATCATATATGTCGTTAACTGAACACAAGAATTCAAACTAATCTCTTTTTTTAAGGCGAGGTGAGGGTTAACATGGATAGTTGCCTGGACACAAGATCAGATCGCGGTTGTCTTTCCTTCTTTATTGCCTTTGAGTTTCTAACGGACAACATGTGGCAATAGTTAAGGTCTTCTTCATTTTAAAATGAAGCAATGGGTAATGGAACACTAACTTATTATTTCTTTTTAAAGATTTATTTTTGGCATTTTATACCTTTTATTTAGATAGGACAGTAGGTCGACAGGAAGCGAAGTGGGTGAGAGAGAGAGGGGGGTGGGATCGGGAAAGGTCCACAAGCCGGGACTCAAACTCGGGACACCCGAAGTGCAAAGGCACTACATGTCGGCGCGCTGCCCACGAGGCCATTGGCGCCAACTAACTTATTATTTCTGAATATTGCCGTTTACACTGTATACTGTGTACTATTTTTTAAAAATAGTAAATGAAACAAAATTCGTTAATCCACATTAAACATTTCAAAGAGTATTAGGCTGAATTGATGTCACATGACATGATCAAATTGCATGTGAATGGTGACCAGTTATCATTATAGAAATAAAAGATGTTATTTTGTTATCTATTACATTTTATTTAATTCAGTTTTGTGTAAAGTGTCTTAATATTTCATCAGACTAATAAATGTTGAGTTAAAAATTATATGTTGGCTGATAATAGTGTCAGGTGCATTGCATTGTGGGATACAGTTTACCACGCAATGTGCTCTGTTATATGCTGCTCATGGTGGCAGGCCATCTGTGCATTACATGCATTCAGAAATTTTGCAAGATGTGCAGAGTATACAGTACATAGTAGTATGTTAGTAAGTCATTCTGAATATATAGACCTGGTCTCACATAAAATCTAAAAGATTTGCTTCTTTCTCCTATACATGAAAAATTAGCATGACGCTGCACTCTGAGTCATCTCAATAGTCTGGTTTGAACTTCAGCTTCTACTAATAGATGCAGATGAGTGCTTCCTTGTAAACACACTTCCCCTTTCATTAAATGCTGTGAAACTGATAGTTCAAATAGACGTGGGAGTAGTGCTGGGCGTTATGACCAAAAATTAATATCACAGAATTTTTCAAAATTATACCGGTTTCACGGTACATGACGGTATTTTTTTTTCATGCATGACCAGGTGGCTGCGCTGCTTCTCTGCCGCTCACTGCACAGAACAGACGCCGAGAGAGGTGACACTTCTCCGGGAAAGTCAGACCTCGCGTTCGCGGGACAGCACTGGCGAAATCTTCCAACTGAACCATAGCTAAGGTTTATCCAAAAAAGTCGCTAGGTTTGTCAGTATGAATATTCCATGGAAAAAAG